TATTAGGCTTAAAAAGTACTTCATAACATGCCAAAAAGGTGTGTAGAGTTTAGTTTTCCTAGTGTGAGCCACTACAAAATTTACAGGGGGTCTCCAGACTTGGAAAGCTGCAAGTTAAATTCAACTTCTGAGAATTTCAATTGGCTGCCATTTTTTACTGGATTGAGATAAAGACCTCTAGTTTGCGTTTTTGTTTTTTTTTACCAGGACCTTCAAAATGAGGGGTCACTCGATAGGTCTTTGTATTTGAAATGTTTTAGTTTCTTCCAAAATCCCCCATTTTGGGGATGTACACCAAGTGACGGTTATGCCCAAAAAGTACTTCGTAACATGCCAAAGGTGTGCCGAGTTTAGTTTTTCTAGTATGGGCCGTTAAAAAAATAACAGGGGGTCTCCACACTTTTTACTAACCCTGTATATAGCCTATATATAAATTTATATATATAAATTTAACGAATAGCGTTTTTGGCCTCTGGGGACATCAAAATGAAAAAGTAAATCGGACCCGGGCCTAGGTGTTACCATGAGACCTACGGTAATAGCTACTTCCCTATATAGAAATTTGCTTAAAAAATACTACTTCTTTAATCTAAGGTTACACATGGACAAGCTGAAGACAGTCAAGGTAGATGAAAAGTATATAGTTTCAATAGTCAGAAATTACTGTCGCTGGACACATTTTGGATCAACAAAATATTTAGGATTTTGAGAAATTATTACAAAGAAAAGAGTAACCATAAGGTACACTTATCTTATATAGATTTCAGGAGCATCTTATCCTTATCTGTATTTCAATAGGAATTTTCAAATTATCAGCGATGTTATCAGTATTAGGTCCCATTTGTGGTCACAAATGGCTACACAACGGATCAACACGTGGTCATAGTTAAAGTGCACTACAAGTACCGGGAATGTTTTGCTGAAACACTGGAAGCTGTGCGCTATTTTCGGCCGGGACAATGAACCAAATGAGTCATTTGTCCGAAGATTGATTTCTAAGTTCGAAGAAATTGGCTCAGTTTTGGACATTAAAAGACCAGTGCGCAGTCGGGCAGGTCACTCCCTTGAAAATATTGAGGCTGTACATGATAGTGTAGAAAATAATGCAAGAACATCGATTTGTCGGCGTAGTCAGCAGTTAAGCCTAGCTCGGAGCACAGTACAAAGAATTTTGGTAAAAGACCTTCACATGTTCCCTTACAAAATTCAACTCACACAAGAGATCAAGCCTAGAGGTCCAGTAAAATGGCTTGAATTTGTAAACTGGGTGGTTGGAAATCAAGATGAAAATTACATGTTTTCAAAAACTTTGCTGTTCAGCGATGAAGCATACATTCATCTAAGCAAGATCGTGCGATTTAACACTCTGTGACTACTTTATTTGGGGATATTTAATGTCGCTTGTTTTCGCCAATAATCCTCAAACAATCCAAGACCGAATGAGGAATTAATTCCTGCCATTAATGGAATTCAACAGTAAGTGTGTGAAAAAGTGTTGGAAAACTTTGTCAAGAGATGTCGGGCTTGTCAGCAGGCAGCAGGTAGGCCCTTACGAGACACAATAATATTTCATTAATAATCGGAGATTCTATGCTTTAAGATTCATGTTTTATATTGTAAATTTAGCGTGAAAATATATGGTTAATTAACATTTCAAATCCAGCGTTCTTATTGCGACACCCTTTATTAAAAAAATTGGCTTTTCTTTTCCATGTTCGATTGGCTCTTCTGCCTGACCAATTTTCATGATTGAAGTCTAAAATTGAAGGTATGTCCGCACATATTTCACATCAAGCATCTGCATATATTTATCTACAGTCCCACTCGGGCTTATACTTAAACAATATTTGCTCCCCGTGTATTTATCATGGGAGTTAAATTTCTAAACATTGTCTTATTGCTTTTCATATATCTCCAGTTTGAATGAAGGAAAATACTTTGTTTTGGTCTTGACCACATACTTTTGCATTGTAATCTACCTTATTTGTGATCAATTGTTTGATTTAAGACCAAAAACAGGCTACATAAACTTGAAATATAATTAATAGTGAAAAATCACATAAATGGGTTAAAGCTGTAACAGTTTTTGAATCAAATTGGTCGTAGTTGAAGTGAACCACCACCAGATTGTGCTGATGTAAATTGCTGGTTTCTGTTGAATATGCAGACTTTTTAAACAAAGCTAACTGATGGGATCCCTTATTGTGCAAAATCTCAGTAACAATTAAGTCATTAGACAACTTTATAACAAAAAGAGAAATCTCAACAAAATTTGGCATATCATTTACTGGTAATAGTAAGCTACCTTTTTGTGTACATGGTGATTGGATGTCACCTTTGATTCCAATTTCAGTTTTTTTTTTTTTATATGGGGGATGGGCCGTCCCCTTATGGGCCTTAAGGAGTATGTTGAAAATCTTAAAGGTAATTAAGCTTAGGTTGAAATGTACAAGTTCTGTTAAACTAAAAACAATGCCGCAAACCAGACCTCAAATGGACAATCGAGCCAAAAATGACAGTTGTTCAAAGATTCATTGAATTTGCATTGGTATTATACGCTACCTCCTCAGGGGGCGCCCGCCAGAAGATGTGAAGATTGTAAGCATAGGTCGATACGATATGCATATCAAATTAAAGGTCTTTTACTTGTAGAATACAATGCCGCAAACTTGAGCTCAAAAGAAAAAATGAGTAAAAATTTGCATCCGTTAAAAGATTAAAAACGGCAGATTCACGAAATCTTTGAACGGCTGCCATTTTTTACTTGAATGTCTTTTTGAGGTCTGGTTTGCGGCATTGTTTATAGTTCAACAAGACCTTTAATTCAATGTACATATCAACAGATGCTTACCTTTCAGATGTTCAACTTACTCCCTGTGGGCCATCCCCCTTTAGGTGACATCCAATCACTATATGTAAACAAAAAAGTAGCTTACTATTACCAGTAATTATGTGCCCAATTTGGTTTTGATATCTCTTTTTGTTTTTAAGTTATAAAGTTGTCCTAAGACTTAATTGTCACCCTCTATATCGCATGTCTACTTGAGTATCCACAAGTCAATGATAAAATTAACTTTCTGTACACAATTTATTGAAAGAAATAGTATCATACAAAACAATAAATTATACAAAATTTAAGGTATAAACAGATACAATAGTAACTTAAATTTAACATAAATACTGGAGATAGGCCTACGAATAAATAATGATGAAACATAGAACAGTATAGTGTCATTTAAGAAAACTTTATTCAGTGTTATTAGAAGGTTGCCTATGGTCTGGACACCCATACAAATGTTTGATTTTACACATTAGAATTAAAATTATTGTTACACAAAACAAATTTAAGGCATAAGGAGACATGCAGTATTTCAACTAATAAAAACAATCAATAAAAAGCTTTGATCATTTATCAAATAAACTAGTGTACCTGCTGCTTGAAACAAGCAACTGTCAAGTACGAAAGGAGTTATTTCAAAATTAATGACTGTCATATCTTTTGATGAGCTAATTAGACTAAAATCAAAGATTAGGTAACTAATGGAAATACTCTATCTCTTCATAAAAGTTTGATATAATCGACACTTCCTTTAAATTTTTTATTATTTTTCACAAGCTGACTTGGATTTTATTTTACTTTTTCCAAAAAGTTTATTTAAACTAGTTAGTAGTTACATGAATAGTTGAATGCTAGTTCAAACCTAAGTATCTTAAAAATATGAACTACCTCGTAGAAAAAAAAATTGTAATGCTTCCTATAAGGTCAAATTAACCTGAAATTACTTATTGAAAAATTCTTGGAGTATTCTTTTAAATACGGGTATCCCAAAAATTGCAGTATAAATGGATAGGTATGTATACAGGGTGTCTTGTAAAAAACAGCCAAACTACAGGATCTGGTTTTATGGGTCAAAATAAAACAATTAATCATTAGCACCATTATCCACCATTTTGCTTTAGCAAATTCCTCATAAAGGGAATAAGGTACTACTGTAAGTCTCATGATAAGATCTAGACCCGGGACCAATTTACTTTTTCGTCTTGATGTTCCTATAGAGGCCTTCTTCCTATTTTGAAAAGTTGTTATTCTAGATTTTTGTTTTATACTTTACTTTAATACTTTTCAATGAAATGGGGACCATACAAAGTAGGTATTTTAAGCCAAGTATGAATGTTTTGAACCATAAAACCATTTCCTGGAGTTTTGCTGTTTACTTACTTGCTCAGTTTAATGTTCAAGACCCCGTATAACAGTAGCCTACTAAACCTTATATTGTCATCGTTTTGAAAACTAAGGTGTTACATAACATTTCTAACTAGACAAAACTAGCCAACTAGGCTAGAACTAGACATACGGTACCATTATTTGCTTGTTTTAGTTCCAACCAATTTTAGAATAAAAATGTCGCTGAAAGTACACTAACATATTTCTGTTTATACACATACTTTTTAACCAAATCCAACTGAAAGGACAACTTATTGTATGGCCATAATATTTGAACATGAACTTTCACAAAAAAGAGGAAATCAAATTTTCAACTTCAGCACAATTTGAGTACCAGTAGTTTATTAAATTAGGTACCTATGTTATTATTTTCTACAGCTGATCTTCATAACATAGATGGAATGTTGCCTCCAGTACCCAAAACCCCAAAAGTCAATCATAAAATTCTTTTTGCCTCATCAGGGTGTTATGGCTACCCTTTTTATTTAAAAAAGTTTAGGAGGCTGAAATTTAGTAACATGAATCCACATGACTTTAGATCGTACATTAGAATCTCATGTAGCTGCATATTTTACGAAGGCCCCTAGAAATAACTTACTAACAAATCATTCCCTACACTACTAAAAATATTTACACTATAAACACAAGTAATAGATTCGTGATTTAACTGTAATGACTTTACCCCCCCCCCCCTCGTTGTAACCAACCCACTTCTTTAACAATAAAGAAACAATTTATTGAGAGTTACGGTACTTGTTGTAATGAGTAAAGATACATCTCTATTTAATAGAACCTTTGACTATATCTACTTCAGTATCCAAAAGTCAATGATAGAACCCAGGATATGTAACTGAATGGTAAAAAACCGCATAAAAAGACACAAGTAGACATAAGTGGTACAGCACATAGAAAACTCTTGATTTTTCAAAATTGATTTTGAACTAGTTTTTAGTTATCATTATAGGCTACTTCCTAATAACAATTCAGTGTTGATAAGAAACAATACCCTCGCCGCAGCAAACCTGCAGACTAAGTGAATTTCCAATTGCCTGATTGGATTTACACCAAAATGTCTCCTTAAAAATACCATATTTATTCCTTAAATGGAATTTAACAACTAGTACTTAGGTTTGCTGCAAAAGGGAGGGTAAAAAAGTGTTTGTTTTTTTTATGTTATAGTTTTGTAACAAATAAATGCATCTTCCAAATTTGATCAAAATATGTTCATAAACAAGCAAACTACAAGAGTTTACTTATTCTTTATAAGAATTTTAAATTTAAAATTTTTCAGGAATTTTTTCCGTAACCATTAGGCGCATAATAACGCTTCAACATACTAAATTATTTGTTTTTTTAAGTTCTACAAAATAGTTTTAAAAGAAATTGTAAAATTCTATGTTTTTAGGGTCAAAAATGGGAAAAACCGATTTTTACCCCATAAAACCCCCCATAAACCCCCGTTTCCCATGGTTTTGCGAGTTGCGTACACTACTTTACCTACGACAGTTTTTTAATTACTCAAAATCACTACTCATAACTTCTAAGAGAGGTTATGTTTTCTTTTATAACCTTGTCCCAACTCATTGTTCCGTCAATTAAATTTGACTTTACAGCTGATAAGTATTACAATATTGATGTTTGAAGCATTACAATTTTACTTCTATTCTATCCAAACTCTACAAAACAAGACTGTAAAGTAAGTAAACAATACTGTAAAGTGAATCTTTTCAAATTCTAAGAACTGAATTGAAAAGGCTAGTTAAAAAGTCGGTCGTAGGTAAACACACATTTCAAACTGAATGGAGAGATTGAGTGAATTACATTTAAGTAGATCTAGACAATAGTTCGGCCGCTTTTTTAGAATGCGACCTGCGCGCTAATGCTAAACCAATGCTAGAGGAGGTCGTTTTCTAAGCGGCCGAACTATAGTTTTCTCTGGTTTTATAAATGCAGTACTGTATCTGTATGTACCAATACAAACAACAAATAATAGGATTTAGCATAAAAGAAGTTTGCTTGAAGTGATACTAAACTCTTATCTAGAGAATCTCGTAAGTATGAATTCATAATCATTATTCATTATATAAATTTATGAATTATTATAGTTCCCTGGGTCTGGGTTTTGAATACACAAGAGCCAGTAAAGGGGGTCCTACTGCAATTCAAGCAGTGTATCATAGTAAAGAAATAAACATAGCCTATAAATCAATGGTACAATTTGACCACAAAGATCAATGGAATGTTATAGATAGCAACATTATACAGTTTAACAGCAAAAACATTGGATATTGCTGTTCAAGTTATTGTGCTTGGAATATAAACAAGAAATCACAGTTTTGGACAGTAACAAGATAAACAATAACACAAAAACACTTTCAAACTATACAAGAAAATATATACAAACCCATAAGTTAATATTTTTGTTCAACGAGATCACTTTGCAATCTTGAAAACATAAGTTAGACTTTTAAAATACCTGCCACATATACAGTTAGCAGAGTGTCAAACTTTCAACTTTCATAATTGGCGTAAACATTGCTTTCTCATCTTTGTCCTCAACCATTATTCTAACCCTCTCCACTTCATAGACAATAGTAAAATACAACCAAATCAATGAAAAACTGTGCAGAACTAGGATTACTTTACACTATTCTGTTGTAAATAGTTGAAACTTGTTGTCTAAAGACAGAGAGAGAGAGAGAAAGTGAGAGAGATCCTGGAACTGTCAATCCACTGTATCCCTCTCATATATAGCCCTGACAGAACTGATTTAATAAATCTCAAAGATTCATAGCCAAGCTACCGCGCTTATAAATAAAACAAACTAACAACTTATCATTTACAGTTTTCAGTCATCGTCAATACCAACAGACTGACTGTTATTTAGTTCCTACTACTTCAGAGCAGTCGTGTAGCATCTGAAGGCGAGCTTGTTACATCTTAAACACTGGCTTGGATTTCCCTGGAGTTTAATCTTCGACTGAGATTTTCTACTCTGACTTTGATGAATTTGAAAACGTCGTCTGCTAATTCCTCGACTGTCGTGTACCTCGTTTTTTGGAAACTGAAGGCATCTGTTAGGAATCCCATTACCTGTTCCTGCAAGAAAATCATTTGGTTTAAGTTTATTAACTACAGTCCTAGCATGAAAACTTGTCTTACTACATTAGTCTCTTAATCATATCCCATATACAAATAGTTTAAATAAGTTGCTCTGTATTAAATGCCTAAATCCTTGAGGTTCCCGAATACAAACAAAGTGGAAAAAAGGGGTTGAGTCAACAAAATTCATTACAACTTACAGTCATGACATACCACATGAAATTCGCACTTGATTTCACTGTGCTCGATTGCATGCATGACGGGTACTCAAAGAGTTGATAACTAAAGATCAGATGATAAATACTCCACGATGATACTTTCACAACAAAACCAATTTCTTGAAGCATTAGTTGAAAAAACAATGACACACCAAATTAATCAGTTGAAGATAAAAAAAACTACCAAAAAATCATTCTGGTTTTTTTTTCTGAAGAATACAAATATTTTATTTTGTTGAATAAATAGGATGAAAACTTTCTTCAAAAAATATATTTAAATTCAATATTTTTTGTGCAATTCATATCAATGTCAATCTGAATTACCTAAAAATGATTTAAAGGCATCATGGAAAGATAGTACAAAATTAGGAAGCATTTAAATCAAAATATTTTACTAACCCTAAAATAAAGGCAGATGGATTTTAGGCCCTCATCAGGCCCTAAAAATCCCCAAGCCATCAAGGGGGACATTTGTTCTGAAATGGCGTAGAAATGAGCCATGAATCCATTTGGGTACTTTAACATTCTTCTTTTAGCCTTTAGAACTGACCACACTGCTGTTGTCAACGCCTGAAACATTGAAAGTTTTATTCATATTTAAAGATTGGTAAGAACCTAACAAAATGAAACAAATGAAAAATATACTAAGCAAGTGCTAGTCTTACAATATTTAAAAAAAAAACACGACTCAGATCGCAAAAAAGAAAGGTACAGAGGAAACGCACTTATGGGACGACGGCGCGCTTTCAGCTCTAGTATGTTGTGCGGAAAATTTACTTTTATGACAACTAAGGAAGAGCCCGAATGGCGAGCATTGTGTGGAAATTCCTATCCCACAGGGTCTTCCTCCACCGTGAGCGGTATAGTACATGAGGGCGAGAGGGGCGGTGTTGGACTTTGTCCTAGAATAGACACCGGCTATTAGTGCTAGACCCTACTTAAGTATACTGAGTATAGTACAGCCACTGGCTGAGTATGGTAGTGAGAAAATTTAGTGTTTCCTCTACACCTTACTCCTCTATAAGAAAGTATGTATTTTCCCATCTTCTCTGTATTTTGGTAGCAGTCCGTCATAGCCTAGTTTTGTCATCTTCCAGTCCTTCATTCGGCAATGTCCAAAAATGCGGCATTGTCCAAAAATGCGGCATTTTACTTTTTACATGTAATTGATAGGCCTACCATTAATGGTCTTTGTGTTAATGTGTAAAATGTGTATAACTTATTCTAAAGACACCTCAAGAAGTGGATCCTTTTGTTAGCCTGATGATGGCGGAGTCCAAAAACCGATGAAAAATATGTAGCAAGTTTTGAACGATACTGACCAAAACTACCTATATGTTTAGCCATTATTTGTCTAAATAATGATTTTGAAAAAAAACTAAATGAAAAGAAATTTTAATAAAAGGTTTGTTTGCATCTAAGTGTGTTACTTTCAATTGTTAAAAGACTATTAGTTTGATCCCAAGAAGAATTAGAATCTTTTCAATCATTCAAAAATGTACTAAGCTGTCCTTGAATATTGGGCTTGATAATGTTAAAAAAAGACTGGGACGGGTGGCGTCGTCCTGTAATCCAGCTACTAGGAGGTCACGAATTGTGGATATTTATAGGGATGCACTGTGGATGCGATGCTCACTGGTGTGGATTAACGTCCGCACTAGTGAGTACTACGACTATCCGCAGTACTATCCTGATAATTAGACCAATTCGTAAATTACAAGGAAAAATGTGGTTCGGATTCCACTATAAACTGTAGGTCCCTTAGTTGCCATTAGCTGTATGGGCTATTAATTAACAGCTGTGTCTAAGGAACATGTCGGCCTTAGTCACTAACAAGACTACAAGATCGCGCCACTCATCCTACACTCATCCTTCACTCATATTTGGGTTAAAATACGCACATAGTGGCGTCCCCATCTTAAATAATTGATTGAATTAATTGATTGATTGAATAAATAGACTTGGCTGAAAAAAACAGATGATCTTAGTCAAACTCACTACTTTAATCACAGTCCATTCAATAATCTTTTGCATTCATATCCAGTTCAAAACACACTCACAATATGTGTCACTATCGTAGTAAAGTGTTTAAGAGTGATTTATTTTATTTAAGATTTAAGAAAATCCATTTTCAAATTAATAATAATGTGAGTACCTAGCAATATTCTTGGAAAACTCACAGACTCTTTAAATCCATTGGACAACCATCTGTTTTGAACAACTGCGGTGACGGAAGCCGGAGGAGTGTCCAGGTCTTCGAAGGCGTCCATGAGGATATAGTCCATGACAACGTCGTAGAACGTCATCGCCTTCACACCCTTCACACTCAACTCCTTCTCAACATCCTCCCAGCAATCCTTCTCTTGTAGGAACAACAGCATCTCTTCATACGCCACCATGAAATCCTTTGTGTCCTGTCAATAAAAAGTGAGTGTTACACCTTTGACTATTAATGGATCTACTCATTCCATTCCCATGTTAGGCCAGGCGCACACAGGCGATTTTGAGTCACGCAACAGTTGCCCGACTAAAATGTTCAACATTGTTTTAAATTGGATTGGGCACACCAGGGAAACAGTCTAGGGACAGTCGCGCAACTGTTGCAACCGATGTTCCCGGACCCAATTTGCCAGCGACTGCTCTGCGACTCAATTGTTGCGGGACTGTCGCTCCAGGTTTGGTATTCATTGAAACAAGTGTAGATGCGCACACATGCGACTAAATTGTCGCTGTGTCGCTCAGTCTCACCCCAGGAGTTCAACTACTCGTGGCCAGAACTGTCACTAGTGTTTGCTCTCTTGTTGTGTGAAGTTTTTAGAAAATTAGCGTGATGAGGATGTCGAACAATTAATTGATGAAGTTGAGAAGAGGCCGCCTTTATATTTAAAGTCATTGAAAGACTATTCGGATATTAATTTAAAGAAGAAGTTGTGGGATGAAGTGTCCTTGGCAGTTACCAAAGATTGGAACAACCTAACACAAGAGGATAAAATCAAACAGGGTAAGTAACTATTAAAAACTGTTGCTACATTATACAATCGGAACACTGTACGAATGTATGTCCAACACTTCTCAATACTAGATTCATGACTAAAAAGTTGCCTGTGTGCGCACTCCAGCTCAACTGTCGCTAGACTTCAGAGTCTCCGAGTAGGTTGCGCAACAGTCCCCCGATTAGTCGGGCAACTGTTGCACGACTCAAAATCGCCTGTGTGCGCCTGGCTTTAAAGTTGTCACCAGTTTTGGAATCAAAATGGACGTTGATCTAGTTGAAGTGAGCTAACCAACAGATTGCGCTCATGTAAATTAACGATTTCTGTGGAATATGCGAGTTTAAGCTTTAGCATCTTTATGTCGGGTCAATTATCTCAGTAAGAAAAATAAGGTAGGAACTAGAAATTATACCCTAGCACAATCTGTCGAAAGTCAATAGTTGTACGCAGAATCAGTGCTTAATTTCCAGAATTTATGTACTTACTTAAACCTAAGGTATATAATAACTTTTATACGTTCAATGTGTTAACTCCATCTCCCCAATAACGCTCATCCAAAGTAAAAACTTCCCGTTAAATGGACTTAACTATAGATTTTAATAGAGTATTAGTAGTTTAAATTTTACTTTTTTGATTGTTTGAATCTCAAATTATCAATGTTAAGCTGGATTTTCCTGGACAGTGTGGGATTCGAAGAAGCAATTTTCAGCTTGTCTAGTGGTGGTCTGGTCCGCTTCTAGGAAAACAGTACCATTCGGCTCACCGCTTCTGTGCTTAGGAAAACCCAGCTCTAGCTCCTTTAATTCAATCAAATAATGTATGCATTTTTATGGTTTCTATTCTATAATTATTTCAAGGCTTTTGTTTAAGAGTTTATTCAATAAGTAAAGTGTGATAACAGTAATAATAAACTATTATTACAAAGCTTCACAAGTGTGGCTTTATTACTTTAGTCAATTCCTGCTGTTACTTCAAGTTGCGTTTAGACAAAGCCAGTTGGTGGCAGGGTTGCCACCTTAGGTTAGGGAAAAATCAGGACATGACCTCAAAAAGTCCTATCTAGCTGTTGATAGGTGACCCCTAGTTTTCTGGGACGATGGTGAGCGCCGGCTTTCAAAAGTGTTTGACTACACCACAGGTTAAGCCTCTTTAAAGAGCCTTTGCAAATAACTGGCTCTAGCACCTCTTCAAAACACAATTATTATACATGCAATTTTCTCCTAGACGTTCCATTTCCACTGATTAAAAATTATATACTCTTTCATATAAGGGTAGGACTACTCTGCTAGTAGTTAAACATTGTCCATAAAATCAGGGATAAAATATAGATTCTAGTGAATGACCACTTTTCAAGTACGGTAATAAATTACTGTAACCTCTATAACCTGCAGTCAAATTTTGGTTATAGTGTATCCACATAATTTCTTATGAGATTATGTGTTTCCTAGTAAGCACTTAATCTATCAGTAAACATCATTTACAAAACTTTGAAAAATAAATCATTAAAATCTAGTTAATGAGCAAAAGAGTCCAGTACATGACCGGCTGTTTAAATAATTGTTGGTTAGGATTTTGATCTTAATATAGGTACAGAATTGTCCTTAACATATTTACTGTGAATACAATCTCTTGCAGTTACTATTAATAATCAAAGAACCATGACAAATACTGAAATACAAACAAAACTTGTTCTTACGAGACACTGTGGCTATAGTGGGTTGCTTGAAGATGAACTGGTTGGAAATCTTAATTATGTTGGTGTTTAAAAAAGAATGATTGACACTTTATTTTTGAACCAGTGACAGGGTAGACTCCGAACAGGCTCCCAAGATACTATTAACACGTTCGCTACTGCAATAGTACGAAATTTTCCATTCACTTGGACCAGCGACGCACATATGCGACGGCCGGTTTCCACCCATAGTAGTACATTAGTAGCATATTTGCGTCGGGGTTCTAATGTTATTAAAATGCTTATATCTTTGTAACGGTCTATTTGAAGGCACTGAATTCCCTGCAGTGGTCTACAGAGATGTCTGACGCACAACTGCGTCGCTTGGTCTGTGGATATGATGGTTGGTGACATCATATAATAGTTGAAAAAACTGGTCTTTACTTTTATGCATCACTGTATGTATGTATGCAGTATGTATGCTGCATAATCCTATGTAGCTTTTATATTTGTTCAGTTATAAACTGTTCTTGAATAATCTGTTTATTTTTTACTTACTTTTACCTTAAACCACAAAAAAATGAACTGTCGCATATATGCGACGTTTAGTCTATTTCAATAAAACTATGATAATTTTCACTATTGTCTTCGCTGTAGACCGGGCGTCGCAAATATGCGACATTACAAAAGGTTATAAAAAGTACAAAAAAACAAGAATAATTGATTTACAAACATGATTGTTGCGTATTACAATGTAAATGATCGCTGTTTTACAGGTTTTTTGCCCGTGGTCTGTGTGTACTGTTATCCAAGTGACAGCCGGTCTATGTGTAAGATTCAAATGTATACCTCGGTCTGTGGCAATGACCGCGGCGTCGCATATATGCGACGCTCAGTAGCAAACGTGTTAATACCGTTTTGTGATAGACTTAATCACTAAGGAAACGGAAAAACTTAATAAGATGTTTTTTTTTATACAGAACGGTCATTCATTGGGGGTGGTCCTTCACTGGTGCACCACCCTACATTGTCGGTTTACCCCATCACATTAACAAGATTCATTACCTTATCGGCATAGAGAAGTAGGTCGTATAGAACTTGTCTACCATTGTTGGCAAACCAAGTCCAATTGTTGGTGTCCTTAAACAGGTATTGGAATGCAAGTCGTATACAATGCAGCTTGCAAAGGTATTCCACGTCAGAACTACAGTGAACCATCTCTGTTCTTAGAGTTCTGAAACAATATGAAACTGGTAAACTGTTTCATCTTTCATTATATCTGCTGGTAGAGGGCAAACTAAAAGATAAATTAGTTGAGCTAAAGCAGCAGTAAGGTACAGGGAAACATCCAATGGTACACTTAAGTGGTGTCTAGCACTACCACTGGTGTCTATGGCAAAGTTACCACTGCCCCCCTTGCACTAATGTACTACAACGCTCACAGTGGAGGAAGACCCTGTGCACTGTGCAATAGAAATTCCCCATAAGTGCTCGTCACTACTCACAAGTCATAAGTATATTTCCGCCCCAACATACTGGAGTTGAAGTTACACAGTTGTCCCTAAAGCGAGTTTCCTCTGTACCTTACTTATCTGGGGCTTAGTAAGATACTATGGTAGAAACTAATCTTTTGAACAAAGATAGATTTCAAAAATTTCATATAGAATTGGTAAAACTGACCAAATTAAAAATCCACATATTAGAGAAATACGGATTCATCACCAACGACCCCTAACGTCAATGACTTGTTTATGTAAAGATCTATGCAACATCACTCATCAGCGATGATAACATGTGGCATTGGAAAACATACAGATGGATTGCAAAATGTATACATGTTTACCCTACTTTCAGCCATATTAAAAATAGTTCTGGCATCTAGAATTCAATTTATACAGAAGAACTCAACACTTAATTTTTTTTCTCTTGTAGTGCACTTATTAGACCTCTTTTATCCACTGCGGCTGCAGGTTTTATCACGCCGCAAAAATATGGGGCTGCAAAATTCGCATGAGGTTTGTACTTTCGGTGCTATAGGTTTTATATCACTGGTAGCATTGACAGAGGTTGCGGCCCGCGCCGCAGTGTATGAAAGCTCCCATAAGACCCAATGTACCTACAGCTGTAAAAAAGCTGCATTTCCTAGGTCCGCCGCACTGGACTTTCGGGCCGCACCGCAGTGCATAAAAGCACCCATTTGAATCAATTTACTTAGAGAATCGCGGCGGCTGCCACAGTGCAGCGACCGCAATTGCAGCGACCGCAAGTGCATAAAAGGGGCTTTAATAATTAAATGAAAGCATTATGATTAATGAAAGTAGAGTAGTAGATTGCTAAAATAAAAATAAAATATTTTTTTAGTTATTGTTTGCCAATACAATAGAGGTGAATCGTATACATTTTTAGGTATAGAGTATAGGTCTAGCCTAGTTATCGCCAATTCCATCCTAAAAGTGAGTAACTTTTAGAAACTGGACCCATGCTGTTCTTGATTGAGCTTTTGATCCTTAACAGCTGATATTAGTCAGTAACAAAGCTAGACCGATCATCTCACTCCATCATATACTCATCTTGCATTGATAATGAGCTTAAAATACACATTAAGTTTGGTCGCTAAAGAATCAATCGTTTATAGTATCAGATTTGGTTAAACTACATTATAAAGACAAACCTGTAGGGAATGCCGACATCTTCAAACTGTCTCAACGCAGACTGGTAAAGTGGCAATTGGTCTGTGTCCGTACACAAGTCCACAAACTCTTCAAACTCTCTTAGGTCTGCCACCTGGTGAGTAACAACAATAACAAAGAAAGTAAATAAAAATAACAACACTCTTGAAACATATGTTTACACTTATGCTGTTAACTCACTAGATGTTGGTATACATAAAAAATGGTAAGTGGTGATCGACTTCGATTCGACCTCCAATCATCATGACATCCAATAGGCGAATCTAGACCTTCAATAATTAAGGATCTTCAATTGTAATTTTTTTTATACCGTGATATTTTTTATGCCAACCAATTTCTAATAACTGCTGGAAAACATGGTGCTCAATATTTATAGGGAGTTTATGATGGACCTAGGAACTTTTTCACTAAACCCACAGAATTATGTGTGTACTATCTAAAAAACCCCGTGTTTTATTAGATTATGAATTATATAATATTCAACTGAAAAGTATTGAAGATTCATATTTATTTAAAAATAGATTACTTTGAATAAGAGGTTTTAGTTTACTTGAAGATTAAAAATAAGGGTGGTTGCCAAGAAAAATAAGATGCGTAGGCCTAGATGCGTTTTTACAGATGGATAGGCAGAAGTCTCTTTTGAATTTTCATAACAACATATCAATAGTTAGATAGACATATTACTAATGTTATAAATGTGAAAGTTTGTGTGTTTGTTTGTTTGTAAGAAAGTATTAAAGTATTAGAAAATCATTATGTAAGTCACTAAGTCACTATTGAAAATAAGAATATAAACCATACAAGCTATTGTTTTACTCTACATTCTATGACATAACTCCCTATGTATTGTCCAATCTCAACCTTGAATGACAGCCATTTTTATATCTGTTTTCTTGTTATTTATAGCAAGTTGTGGCGTCTTCATACTTTTTATACCTATTTATATTTCATACAATCTATACACATTTTCTTATTGAATGCATCTGACAAATTCTGGCCACTTGCATGTATTTATCTTGACTGTATAGTGACTATAGATAAATAAAAATAATTTCATTTCATATTGCTTTTTCAATAATTATTGTAAATATTATACACAACAAATTTACACATCACAGTCTATTTTTTAATAATTAGAAAGACGTGTTCAAGGAAATAAGTCTTACATCAAAACTCGAAACTGATCTTATAGACACAAAAGCTAATATGTGAGCCAAGGCAGTACCCTACAGGGTGAAAGATTATGTCTTGCCAGAAACATTGAAATAACACGAGTAAAAGCTTATTTGACTTTGTTGTTAACACATACAATAATGTTTTCTTTGAATATTTAATTCGTAGTATTCCACCTGGTAATTTAGCTCAAAAACGTGACAATCATGACTAAAAAAGATCCCAAAAACATCAAAGCCTGATATCAATATGTTACAGAGAGTAACACTCTGACTTTGACATAAACCTATAGACTTGAAATCCAACCAAAAATTTACTTCAATCCTATATTATTTTATGACTCAAAGCGTAATCTAACCACAAAATAATCAACCAAGATGAACTAAGAGTAAGACTGAGTTATAGATACCTCAAGAGTCATAAACAAAGCAGCTTGAAACATGACGGGCTGTAAAGATGTCACCATGTAGCTGGGCCCAAACACAAACTGACCTAATCTCCCCAGTTTGGACCAACAGAGATAAAACCAAGGCTCTAACTGTTGTCTACTCTATTGTTATAAACCAGACATTTCGAGACATATTGATAAGGGGAATTTGATTTTACAATTGTTTTGAGTCAACAGACCAATTTGATAAGTGAAAAAGTCGAATTGTGAATCATGAGTAAAGAGGTTGAGTTGTTAGTTTTTGCATTTTTGTGTTGGTTGTGTGTTAGACAATTTTATCTTAGTACAAATATTGTCGTTCTTTGCTTTTCTGACACCGTGCTTTAAGTACTAAAAAGTTCAACATTGATAAGGCTTCGAAATGCAAAAGTTATTTGACATATTTAATTATTAGATTATTTAGTCTGAAGGGAGCTATGCCGCCACGCCATGTTTTCTACGTAATTACGAAAACTAGAATACAAAGGTATATAGGCCTAAAACTCTATTTTGATCTGTTGTCTGTAACCTTTGTTTCTATTATCCAAATATACCCTGGTTTCAAATGTTACGTAGTGCAACATTCGATAAAAACTAATTGATTGATTGAGTGATTTAACAGTTACGTCACAATGTGACCATAATACGTAACATTTAAAAAAAAGTAAAAAATAAACGGTATCAGCAATCTGACACATACTTTCTCCCGGGCTTGTCAACAACCTTTTTTATAGGTACGCGGTGGGGAGTAACTAATATATTTTATAGGAAAACAATCACACACAGACATAACTTCGAGAACCACTTATTGGGTTCAGGGTGACCCAAAACGGATATATCAACTCAAAACTCAAACAGAAAATGTTCATAAACTATAAAATTAATTCTGGATGGAAATGAATAAAAAACTTCACAGTGTTTTTTTGTTTTTTTTTTCTAAAGAAACAAAACACCTAAGAGCTCTGCAACGTCAACCCAGAGTGAAAATCTCTTAAGGCAATGCAAAATATCTGTCTCCAGAAGACTTAATATTTATCTTAATCAACCTTATAGCAATAGGATAAAAGAGCTAATTTTTTAGCTTAACGCAATATCTAATTAATGCCAATCAGTTGTGTGACATAAAAATAAACGGAAAATGTGTGAGAGAAAACGGTGAAATAAACATTGTTTAGTTTCTTATCGTTTCCATGGAGATATTAAATATTTACTACAAAGCCTCACTTCGGATATTATAAATCCCGGGGAAAAGCCAATGGTCAAAGTATCTACTTCTCGTTAGAGTAAATAACTTTATTTAAATTTCAGCGTAAATTAGTTACTGCGCGATAGAAATTACAACCACATAGACATATTGTTCTATAATAGTAGGCTAGATAATTTTAAAAAGGACAATGGACTATGTAGGGCTAACATTTACAATAATTTCAGCGTATGCATCACCATAGAGTAATAAACCTACTCAGTTTTACAAAACATATTGCAAATGTTACCAATAGAAGTAAAAGTAAACTGTATTTGTACACTGTATTTTCGTTACGTTGCCATGACGAAAAATCATATTTACTTTGAAACACCTCACCACTGGACTGGGTAGAGCAAGCGCCCTGGATCGATTTAGAAACGGTAATACGAACCATGGAAACCTAGGTTAAATCTATAGATCACATAGAGTTAAATGTGCTCTAAGAGGTTATTTTGCTCAAAGCTTCAGACAGTTTTCCCAGATGGTAGGACATCAGGCTGAGGCAGCCATAAAATCCACCACAGAATAGAAATCTTGACAATCGGTAGAAGTTGAAATCCAATTTCCATAATACATAATTATTAACATCCATATTTTCTAGTACCCGAGCTGATCCTATGACTAAATAAATAAGTTATCTACCTCGTGTCGTAACACTTCGGCCCAAGTAACACTTCGGCCCAAGTAACACTTCGGCCCAGTAACATTTCGCCCCGAAACCCTCAGATGTGGCCTACGGTCCAACTCTCTACCTGCCCACTAGTAACACTTCGTCCCAACAAAATAATTGACAGGTTAGGTTAGGTTAGGTTAGGTAAGATTCCACCGATTCTCCGTCATGTGAGGTCAGAGGATGCAAGGGGTGACGGTTGGGCGACATTCCACCAGAGGGTGGTTGCAAAGTATACAGGTACTTCTTACTACCTGAACTGCGTTCCTCAACCCTTGTCAATTTTTCGTCGGGCCGAAATGTTACTCCATTAGCTTATTTAATCATCTGTAAAAGCGAGTGGGACGAAGTGATACTGTTTTTCTAAGAAATTTGAGTTTGGCCGAAATGTTACTGGGCCGAAGTGTTACTACATCACCTACCTTCGTCAACCAGCTCCGTAAGATATTTTATTGATTTAGCTAAAGGCTTTAACCAGTTTTGGAATAAAAATTGCCACATTTAAATTGGACCACCAATAGAGTGAACTGGTGTCAAATACAGATTCTTATCGATTATACCAAATTGTTAACCAAGTAAAAAAGAACGACTTAAAGTAAATTATAACATCTCTTATGAAATTTTCAGCAATAGAATGGATAACACAGAATTCCGGCAGCAGCGTGCTTAATAAGTTCATTCAAATATGTTCAGTTCGAATAAAGATTTGGCTTCAACCATTCTCTATTGGCGTGGTGTATACTTTAGTATCCAAAGTGAATTTGTTCAAACCTGGTCCTGCGCTGATACAAACGACTCTGGAGAGGAATAGTCCCCGGACCTGTGCTCCGAGAGACCATCTCTGACGGAACTGTCGGCACGGAACAGCACAGAGCGCTGGAACAGAACAAGATATATTAAACACAATAATGTCAAGTAGAGTTATAAGTTATAGATCGTGTCAATTAGTGACGATATGGATGCACATGCCCACAAAAAGCCTTCCCCCACCACAGTTGCATTTGTTATTCTGTAGGCCTACAGTAATTTCAACAGTGGATTGCCGTTGATCTTTTCCCATCCTTTCCTAAACGTCATCCTGACTGACTCGGTCCTTACCAGGTGTAACCAAGGAGTCGTAATGGAATTCGTCCAGAACAATAATAAACAACAGTTTCCCAACCTACCAAAAACAAAGTCACACATCGCGGTCCAATGTTCTTCTGTTTCAGTTTTGGCAGATTCTGTGCACAACATCGCTGGGAATAGTGGGGAAAACGTTTACTTTATTGACAGCTGAGTACAGATTTCTAGAGAAAATATTGTCTGTGTTTCCGAGTGGTTATAATAATCAACTTCAAATCTAATGGTTGCTAGTTCGATTCCAAGAGGAGTCGATTCTAGGCCCGGATGAAATTTGTCAGTTTGCTATCAATTGATGGCGCTTTCTAACAAAAGGTCGGAGTTAGAGGAGCTAGACCAGGGTTTGGACAATTTGCTTAAAAAACTAAAATAAAAAAGTAGGCCTATACAAATTCGAGATAAAACAATTAAATAATCTATTGGTAATATTTAAATCCATTATTCTCTTCATTTGGTCTAGTGATTTCTTTATTTCCTCTAAGTGTGGATAACGATCGATTCGGTGACTTTGACGTTACCTCGGTCGAATCCTCGTCAAGTATATCAATATTCTTCATATTAAGAGTGGATCTCAAGAAACCATCCTTCCTAGGCAAAGGAATCACTAGACGAAATCAATGTAAAATGACTTTTATTTGTATGTTTAAGTGCTTCGAGACTACACAATGACATTATTTTCACTTGTCGAACACCTCAATGTTACTTTTCTTCTTAGAACTAAAGTATATTTAATTACATTATAGTGTACGAACAAGGTATCTAAAATTAATATGTGATAGGTTTTTTTTAACCAACTAACTGTCCATTAATAACTAATGTGTTTGTTAAGTGTTACGAGCAATGGGATTCTGATTATTCTAAAGACAACTTTCATATTATTTTCACCTCATGGGAATGTAAACTTCTGAGGCGGTCTAACATTGACTTTGATCGTTTATCACAGTGAACATATTTGTTCACCAATCAACTTATGTGACCAGTAGTCAAGTATTGTCACAGAATGCAGACTTCTAAGCCATTACAGCACAGACTAAAGTATACATTTTACAATCTTGATTTAACGATTGAATATTTAGGAAGAAATCTCAAATGAGAGTACCTGGTCAAGAAAGAGCAGTTCACACTGTTCCTGTAAGCTGTAGGCAGCTTCCACCAACTTCTGCAGCTCACTGGAGAACTCTGCTTCTTCCTCGCTGGTCAGAGCTAGGGTGGGGCCCTTGGTGGTGTATAAGGCCAGAGCGTCCTCCCAGTAGTTTATACTGGTCTCTAGAGCCTCCATACCTGCAAAGACAAAACCCCTGCGTTAGATACTTAGAAAATCTAGAAAAGCCATCATCGGTCACAGTAGACGGTTTAATTTTGGTCTTGGATGGACGCCGTAGACTGGCGAAGCGTTAATACCGATTTGGATACGTTGCCGCAACCCACCTTCGGGGGAAAGTTAGAATTCAATCAACTGATTGCGCTAGATACAAGGAACATAGCTAAAAATTAAAAATATTAGACTTATCATTTGCCATGAGGATGGATTGGTCTAACGTATTCGAAACTCGGCCAGAATTGTCATCAACAACAACGCAGACATCTACCGAAGACCAGGATTTGATCAGACCAAGTTGATAGAATTTCCATAGAACCCAAGTACAGAAGTCTCACAAATACAGCAGATAGTGAAAAAGGAAAATGATCCCTCCAGTTATAGCTATTCAGCAGGGAAATAAATAAATTTCAATTACTGTATTATGTTTTTCCAACAATCGGAGGTCTAGTGCCCGAAGCTACCTTTTCATGAGGTATCTGTACTATAAACTCTGTAAATACACACTATGCTATATTCTGCGTGTATAGCTCACACAATTATCACAAAGACCTTATCGTGGTTATTAAGGGCTCTTTCAATATGACGAGTCGGAATACCTAGTTATTAAACCAATACAAATATCGCTTTTGATACTGAATAATTAAGATCTAACTAGAAATTAGGATAGCATAGGATATATCAATCGACACAAGATCTTGCAGCCTAGACACATAGTTTTGCAAAAGCTTATTTTAGATCCATATTTCAAGAAATTGAATTAATACCGTATTCAATCAATATTAACTGATCTAAATTAATTATTTTGTCAACATATGGACGATTTAATAGTACTTACTGAGTTGAAACACTTTGCCTCAACTCTGCAATCTAGAAACTCACTTAGTAATTAGTGGATCTATGTTTCCTGATTGGACAATTAGAAGTTTGAACTTCATACAACATACAACTGTTAACCTATGGACAATGTTAACATAACTAACTTAGTACAGCTACAGCACTGCTTCAACTCTGCAATCTAGAAACTCACTTAGCAATTAGTGGCTCTATGTTTCCTGATTGAACAATTAGAAGTTTGAACTTCATACAACATACAACTGTTAACCTATGGACAATGTTAATATAACTAACTTAGTAGAACACTTTGCTACAACTCTGCAATCTAGAAACTCACTTAGCAATTAGTGGATCTATGTTTCCTGATTGGACAATTAGAAGTTTGAACTTCATACAACATACAACTGTTAACCTATGGACAATGTTAATATAACTAACTTAGTAGAACACTTTGCTACAACTCTGCAATCTAGAAACTCACTTAGCAATTAGTGGCTCAATGTTTCCTGATTGGACAATTAGGAGTTTAAACTTGCTTCATACAACATACAACTGTTAAGCTATGGACGATATTAATAGAACTAACTGAGTAGAAACACTTTGCTACAACTCTGTAATCTATAAACAAGTATAGTAGTAGTGATCCGACGTCAATGGTAGTACTTGACATCATATTGCAAGAAATTGATAATATTACCATAAATTCACATTCACGAAGAAATAAAAGAAAATATTCTACGACAATTTTTGCTATAACTTAATATGAGTCTATATATTTACTCCCTAGGGAGTAAAAAGCCATTTTAGCCCCTAGGGATGAAAATGCCTTTTTATTCCCTAGGGAGGATAAGTCAGCTGAAGAAACTCAGTTGTAAATTTAAATTAAAAGTAATTCCATGGATAAAAGTTATTGATCGTTTTATTTAATCGGTTATAGTTTATTGTTGCATTCTTGTCATTAGTTCGTCATATCGATGGTTTAATGTTCACTAACACATTCGTAATTGATACTCAATTTATTCAATAATGTTACATGACGAAAAGAATAGTTCAGTTAGTTCAATTTTTTTTCGTGAAATTTATGCTCCGGCTGAAAAGAATTACTTTACGCGCTAGTGCTGAAATATTCCAAACTACAACATTCTATTGTAAAAACATATTTTTATCAAACACTTTGATATTGACTAAACACAAACATCTGATTTGAATACGATAAACACAGATTACGGTAGTATTATGGATAAGCTTTGATTACCTAAACACAACACACAAACCCTTTGATGTTAGCTTTGCTAATGGAATCCGGATTGATCATTGATTGCCTCTAACTTGATACTTGCTAATTAACTATTAAAACTGAAACTGGGATTTCAACTTTTGTAAACAAATACCTTTAAATGTAATACAATTGCAGAGCCGCATTTATATTATTTTATTTGACTGATATTCATGTATAGTGTGTTTCATGTAAGTAGAGTGGCGAAATAGTATAGTTCATCACTAGAGCGTAAAGTGATTTTTTCGACCCTAGCTCAAGTTCTATGATCGAGGCGAAGCCGTGGTCGGTAAATGAGGGAAGGTTGAAGAGACACTTTTTGCCCGTGCGATGAACTATCGTCATATTACATAATTAAACAAACTAAGTAAAAAAAAACGAAAATACTTTTCATGGAACGGCTCAAAACTACCACCAGCTTGTTTTCGATTTTGCTAAACCAACAAAAATAATTTCGTCTGTTACGATTGTGTTACTGTACATTATACTATCGATATCTCAAACAATTACATGAATGCTACAATAAGCTGCAACCAATTAAATTAATCGATAAATAGATTCGATACATTATGTAAGTAAGTAATCATCGAAGTTTACAACTGTTCACAACAGCTGACCTTTACTCCCTGAGGACTAAAAAGGGCTTAACTCCCTAGGGAGTAAAAGAGCCACATTAAACCCGCAATGTATTTTACACGCATTTCCTTTGTTGTGACAAAAGTTAAAAACAATCAACTTGTAAATGTGTAGACACTACTATCCGATAAAAATCACGTGGTTGCCGATACTATTAAAAATACCCTACATAACTTATTGTAGAAATCCGAAAAAAAAACCAACAACTGTCTTACGAAAATATAGAACAGGCCTACTGCATCAGGATACCAATAAGATTGAGTTTACGGAATCAAACACACAATAGGGGGGGATTCCAATATAGCTTACCCTAGGGGAAGGAACCGACGAAGAGAGATTAAATGTACTGTCATCTGAATCAGGGAAGCTGTACCTCCGAGGATCTATAATTACTTGAGAATGTAATTTCAAATTCACTTACTGTACTAAACATCAACATGACACTTTTTGTCCTAGGACGCTAGACACGAGCCCGGAATTGTTTTTCACATTACTTCAGGCTAGACCTAGGGGTTGCGGCATTATCACATGGATAAAATCCATTGGTGATTTGGCGGGATTTGAACCCGGGCTTCTGGAACCTAAGTCCCGCGTTCTAACCACTAGACCAGCTCACTCCCCAGCAATATACTTAAAGCATTTATGAGGAAATAGTGTTGGCGCTATAGTAATTAGAACTGGGTTAAGCCTGAAAGTTTGAAGTAGCTTCTTGATAATTCAAATCTTGACTTGCTTCCATTTGTCATTAGGTTTTCGGTTAGTGAGTTTCTTCAAACGTATAGCTGATCTTAGTCTGTTAACAACACTAAATAAACGGTATCAGCAATTCTGTCGCATACTTTCTTCCATTAGCTTCTTAAAACCCCTTATTATGAGCAACCCTTATAATGGGAGTAAATATGATATTTTATGGGGGAAATCATTACAGTTAGTTGTAAAGCTGTTGAACCATAATTTTTACAGCGTTGGATATTGTACCCTTATGACAAGTTAAAAGGACCATAACTGTGGCATAACATACCAAATTAAATCAAAATCGTTTGAGAAATTTTGAAAATCCAGTTTCTGTAGTTTTATAGAGACATCACCATTAAAAATAAAAATCTCCAAAAAAATGAAAACGCCTGGAGATACTTTATGTTTAAATTAAACTATTACTAGTTTTTAATTAGCTTTGGTTGTGGCTTTATCTTATAATGTTATCAGAGATATAAAAATATATTTGTAAAAGTTTAATCGTAAATTGACAGTTTCAAAAAAATAAAACTATCGTAATTACAAATATCAAACCACCACAACCTTTCGGTGGACTAAAACGCCAAAATGCAAAATTATTCATATACATTGTAGAAAGTAATAAGTAGCCTATAGCTCGTGGAACAGCGGCATAGCAACTGACTACTATAATTTTCGTGATCGATAGACACGTGGTTAATAAAAGTTCATATCTCGACTGTTTCACAGGCAACAAATTAAATTGCCACACCAGCAGAATGAAATGATTGATTTATATAAAATGTCGACTTTGCAGAATATGACAGTAGTGGACAGCGATATCCGTTGAGTGGGCAATATCAATATACCACTTTGCGAAACGATGCAATAATTTGACAAGGATTAGGTTATCGAATCCGCCCAATAGCTATGTGACTGAAATTGGATTTATCCGATTTAATTTTGCCTCGTATAAATTTGTTACTGAAAAGTATTGTTTTCGTTCGATTTTCAAGTTATGGGCTTTTAAAAGGAAATGCACATTTTTGCAAGGCATCCTATTCTATTCTAGAATAGGAACTTTACCAAAAGTAATATTTTTTTAGTTTTTGTGTATGAGTCTTGTATTTTTGGAGTGTGTGTGTATTGCAAATAGCTTGTAAAAATATTAGTACCAAACCCTTTACATATAAATACAACATCAAAACACAGGTTATCTTTTGCCATTTTAACTTAACAAAGTCATTTTTCAATTCCTTAAAAACGAAATCCTTCAAGTGACGTCCTTGTCCTACTAGACATTCCTTTCCAGTCACTTGAAAATGTAATTGAATATTCCTTACATTTCTTCAGGAATCACTTTAGTTTCATGGACAATTCAAGAAAATCTCTAGGGCAACTTTGAAAAAACTTAAATTTCAATTAGCTTATAGGGAGAACTCCCAAAGAAAGCAAAGAGTCAACGAAGATTTTCCAACAACGAAAGCATCCTGGCAAACC